GCTCATGATGAGGGAGTCCTTCAATGCCTTCAAACTGTCTTCCTCCTGACACGTATCGACTACATATAGGAAGATTGGAGGTGCAGGCGCAGGGCGGGCTAACCGATATTCAACGGTACTGTTCTCTGGATGAAGCTCCGGCGGGATGGCATTTTCGGTGATATCCTTGTAATGCGGCGGAAGAGGGTTGCGTTGGAGACAGAATGGGCATATCCAGATACGTGCACGAATATCAACGTTGCTGTTCACCATGGTCAATTGACGAAAACTCGATCAAAGAAAGAAGTGCGGGGATATTTGGCAACGTACGCAAAGGGGTTGAGGACCGCCCTGCAAGGCATCTTGCAGGTAACCGGCTCATACTGAAGCAAGGTGCCTTCTGGCCGCTCCTTCAATGGGGTGTATACAGCTCCAATGGGGACCACAAGCCGAGATGCCTCCTGTAACCACTGTTAGGACTTCCCGACTCCATAGATCTGGCCGGAACCTTGCGAAAAATAAAACGAACCATGCGCGTGCTTGGAAAGGTATTCCAGCTTAATCGAACGCCATCGCGCTCCTCCGCATCATTCCACTGGTCTTTCAAAGCCTCGTAGTCCATGTTGCCGTGAGGTACGATCGTTTGGTTCGGAGGTCAAGGGGGCAGGAGGGAGAGATAGCACAACAAAACAAGGTGACAGAGGCGAGTATATCAATAAAAGCTTGCAAGCATAATCACATTAGATGTAAGGAAAGGACACAGGTAGAAGAAAAAGCAGTCTGCTGGCAGCGTGCCCGTTGAACAGGTTGGCAGAAGTCCAGGCAGCTCTCTGGGAGGTTTGGCTTCGTCGTCGTGGTGGGAAAGCCGATTTGATGCCAGGTTGCAGGATGCGGCAGGTGTGGTCTCTCTCGCCCGCCGTAGCCAGCCCGCTAGCGCCAGCGGGAAAACCTAGCGCGCGCTGCGTATAAATAATAGCGAAAATTTTCTCTTCCTCTCCTCCTCCTTTTCTTCTTCCTTTAAAACAAACAACGCCGACATATTAATTCACATTACATTGGCAGCTTCTGTCTTTCCCTCTATGGCACTGCTGTTTTCGCGTCGAGCGAAGATCGAATTCTTTATACCCATTGCTGGGCACCTGGTTTTGATGGCTCATTCTGATGCTTTATGAGAGGCCGGGAATCAGCAGAGGTAACAATCATTCTGACTACTCTCTAGATTCGTTTTTGCACCATTCCTTTCGTTCTCTCATGAATGGATACGTGCCCTACTATCTTGGAGTATTAATCTTGTTACAGTGATTTATTTGGGACTGTATAAATCTGCTGTCTCCAGAAAGCAGGGTAAATCAATGTTAGAATCATTGAAGCTTTCAAATATATACTAGAATTTGAAAAAATAATAATAATAAAATAAAATATAAATATAAATAGGCAGGCAACGCCCAGGAAGATGACCGCTTACGCCGTTACATTGTCCTCAGCCGAAACCCTAAGCCAGTAACCATTTTACGACGTCATTTCAACTTCTGTTTTTGGTGCATTGTTGAGGTTCTTCAGCAAGTAACTGCGCTTGAAGTAAACATTTGGGTGAACGATGGTATCAAGCTCCGTTTGACTCCATATGCCTTCGTCCTTAACTTTCTTTAGCTCGTTCTTATGAACATGCTCGAATACTCGATTACAGGCAATATGATAGCGGGTTCGGCCAACGTCCTCTCGTACACCGCGGAGGGTCTCTCGGTCCGTTATACCGACCGCTTCAAGCAGAGAGACGAGGTTATCTGGTGAAAAGTGTCGGTAGGGGCACCCGTGGGTCTGGCCGGTGCCAGGAGCATTATCGGTGAGAATCTTTTGGCATGAGTATGGTGGATACCCTCGTCCTCTCCGGTTCATGTCGCCGCCGACATCACCGTATGCATGGCGAACGTTATATTTATATCTCGAGTTGAACTCGTCATCGGTTATGTTCCGGAATGACCGCCGCCAGAACACTAGACAGTCATCAAGTGACAGGCCAATGCCTTTGAGGAAAAGGGTATATTGGAGTCGCCCGAAATGTTTCAAATGTGCGTTCTTCCGGAGTTGCATATGTAGATTCCGCATACAGAGCGGGAAATGCTGTGCTAATACGTCAACTGAGGCGGCATTGATCGGGGCTCCGGGAACAGCACCCTCCCCTTCAGAATAAGAAGAGTCTGCGGTTCCAAAGTTCTTAGATAGATGCTGGAGAATTGGCGAAAGGCGGTCATCTTCGTCAAGCCGGGGTAGAGCACGGCTGGTGAGCTAGATGTTTTTGGTTAGCTTCCTATAATCCGTGCAATCAAGTGCCGTAGTGCAAACATACTTCCATAGCCTTTTCCAACCGGGATGTGAATTCTGCAAGAATCATGCTCAGCTGTTCACGCAAAGGTACATATGCTTTCCCTTTCTTCACATATATACTCCGCCGTTCGATCAACTCAGGTACAGCCTCCCAGTCGACCTTGAACCAACTTTCGTCATCAACCCATCGAAGACCGGGAGTCGACGCCAACAAAGCCTCGCCCAACTCGGCCTTTTCCTCGTCAGTCACTGTCTCCCAGTCCAAATGTAAACTGTCCACAAACTCGCGTCTTTCCCGTGCATCATCTTGCTGAAACCGGAATTTAAACAGCATAGACTCCAGACGGACAAACCGCCGCCTCAAATCATCGGTTGAAGCGAACGCAAGCCGTAGTATAAAATGGGAATAGTGGTCCTTCTGTCTCTCAGCTTGAAGTATATCGTCACTACTATTGCCCAAAGAGGTATTTGAGTTCAACGGGAGGAATTTTTTGAGCAGAGGGGCGATATGAGCAGCTGTTTCCGCCGGAGTTTTATTTCGATAGGAGCAAGCCTCCAGTTCAGATAGAACTATAAGATAATCAGTATCGCTCAACTTCGACACCTAAAAAGGAAGAGCCTCATACCTCTAAGACGATCAATTGCCCATTGCTCAAACTGCTCCAGAGTGATTTCCGCTGTTGGCGGCACCTCATAGAAGTTCAGCCGGTGTGAATATCGAAGGTGTTTATAGACGGGCGTTGCAAACTGCCGCTTTTTATGGTCAATGCCGGCCCGACGCTTCGTATCAACTCGATTCCTATCGTATTGCATCATGATGAACCTTGTATCACTGTCGTCGGAGCTATCGAAGATGCTGTGGCCCTCTCGTCTCTCCCCGTCTTCGTCTCTGCTGCTTCGTCTCTGCTGCTTCGTCTCTTGTTTCACGCCCAAAATCGCGTCGAGACGCGAAACCACTTCCATAAACTTTATACTGTTCACGTGATATTGATATCACTTATTACATAAGCACAACCACTCTCTATCCCGAACTTGGCCCGCAGTCCTTCGAGGAGAGGCAGAGAGACTCTTCTTCCAGAGCACTCGAACAGCGATGGATTGCCTGAGCGGTAACTTGCCTACCTTTTTGCAGCGAAACATGCGGCTCTCCCTTGACTCTGCATCGTCATACCATCCCCTCAAGCCGAAACTCGCCCAGATCGCGATGGACTGACACGTGACACCCTTTCCCTCCCGGCCCTCTGGTTGGTCCCCGCAGAGCCGTGCACATGCTTCGGGCCCTTTTGCAAGGCCGGGATTGGCTGGAAGGTTGCCCAGGCTTTGCCTCCCTTTCCGAGGCCACGAGTTCAACATTCTCGGGTAGAAGCATCACCAACGCCGAAACCACCTGCACCTTATATATCACCAGCGTTCTCTCACATTTTGAGGTCGCACATACACGCTCTACCGACCTCGCAGCAGGTTACTCGAAGTACCGGCCAGATACACTCTTCTTACGTCTCGATTACTAAGTTAGTTATTAGAGTTTTCACGCCGTTGCAGCCAGGGTTTCTCGACGTGCATATTGCTCTCGTGCATTCCTTTGGCGGGTAGCTTTTCCCACAGTACATAATGGTTGCTGCCAGTGCGGCAACTAGACGGTTGAAAAAGGCTGCGCGGATCATCCTCGTTGGAGCGCCAGGTGTTGGGAAAGGCACCCAGACGGAGAGACTGATCAAGAGGTATCCACAGCTTGCATCGATCAGCTCAGGGGATTTGTTACGGGAGAACATTCGCAATAAAACAGAGATAGGTATGTGGCTATCGACTCGCTTGTTGTTCATTGGTGGGAATTAATGCTAACGGCACCAAATAATAGGACTCAAGGTTCAGTCAGCTCTGCTTGCAGGCCAACTGGTTCCAGATGCCACCATCCTAGAATTGATATCCTCCGAACTTACCTCTAAAGGGTGGCTTGTGCCATCGCCCAACGTTTCATCCACATCCGCTCCATCGTCGAAGAAATCACTCAACTCATCGGCCTCATTCATACTCGATGGGTTCCCCCGAACGGCCGTCCAAGCCAACAGCCTCGAGTCCCTCGTTCCCATAAATCTTGTTGTTCACCTTCTTACCCCCCCATCCATTATACTATCGAGAATATCTTCTCGATGGGTGCACCCTGGATCTGGCAGGGTATACAACACTGATTTCAATGCACCAAAGATTCCCGGAAAGGATGATATAACGGGGGAACCACTTGTTCAGCGGGACGACGACTCTACCGAAGTCTGGAAGGAGAGATTCCGGAAGTTTGAAGAGACCAGCAAACCATTGCTAGACCATTACGAAACAAAAGGATGCGTTCTGCGTATAGAGGGCAATTCGAGTGATGACATCAGCCCGAAGTTGTTTGCTGAAATCGATAAACGATTCTGTTGATACCCACCCTATGTTATCCTGGTAAAGATATGCCATGCATAACGTGTGGCCTTATAACGGATGCCTTTGGATAAGGGTAGTTCTCACTTCGTTTTCTCTGCGTTCAGCTGTAATAATATTGACAAACAATTATCATCACATATACATAGAATATGGGCAGCTAGAAACCATATCAGTATCCTTACACATAGTATCAGATATTCAAAGAAAATTCTTCTTTTAACGCTAGAACGCTCGAATCAAGAAGGCATCAGTCGTCATCTCAAGGCCATCAATCATGCAGAAGAATCTTTCTCCTGGTCCATGGCATTCATCCTAGACTTGAACTCTCTAGGGCTCTCCCAGTTATTTGAATCTTTTGTTTTCCAAAGCCCCTTCCCCTTCTTCTTAGCCAACGCCTCGGCATTTCTATATTTCTTCTCTTGTTCTGGCCCTCCAAACTCGGCGCCAGATTTGGCCTCATAAACAGTTGCCAGGCCTTCTCTTAACATCTGCAACCCAATATCCTGGGGGAAAAATAGGAATCGATACGCATACACGGTAGCTACAACACGGCTGTATTGGTCAGGTCTATAGACGTAAGCACGTATTCTGCGGCCGGTTAGTCGATTCGTTAACCACTTGTGTGCCTCTTCGCCGAAAGGTTGGGCTGGGCGTCCGAAATGAGCGAGCTCCGGTGCATCAACGCCCGCAATACGGATGTGAATCTGCTAATCGGTTAGAAATTGCAACAAGGGAGATCACAATGTTGATTGAAGGATTTCGTACCGTGTTGTTCTTCAAGTCTTTCTTTGATGTAGGCACCTTTCTGAGCCAACCCCACCCCGCAAGCATCCCGCCGGGAGTATGATAGATGCGAAAGTTATCTCCATCGCCCACACTCGTGACTTTGCCCAATATACTTCGTTGTCGAAGGTAGGACGGTGATATATTAGGCGCTTCTGGGATTCGGCGTAGGTATCGACGATGTATCCGAACTGCAAATAAGATGCCGCTCGTTAAGAGGATGGTGGGAATGAGATTTGACGGTTCGATAAAATAAGACCAATTGGTTGCATTGGATAATGCATTCCAATCCTTAGTAGCTTTCAAGAGTGTTGATGGCTTCTCATTGCTATTGGAGCTTGGTTTGCTATTGCATTTGCATTCATCCTTGTCATTGTCTGATGTCCAGAAGAGCCATCGCATGATGGTCGCTTGCGAGTTAATGGGAGTCCTCTAAAGTATGGCTAGCACTGAGACAGAGTAAAGGGATCATATATATAGATATCCAGCATCAAGAATGTTAGATGAAATAGTAAAGAGAGAGTCAGCCTCTGACTTTCGTGTTATTGATAAACACCTCTGCATATTTTCGGTCAGGTAAATATTTAAGCTTACAGAGCTGGAGTTAGTTAACTAGGGCCTTGGCACGGCGCAACGGACTTTATTTTGACCTGCGCGACAAAGGGCAAGGTCAAGGGAACGATTGAACAATTCACACTCAACAAGAAACCTTAGCCATGATATTGATATGTAAAGTAGTGAATCTATATTTCGTAAACTATACAAGTAGCAAAACCAAGTTCGGCATGTAACCATCCCAGGATCCGGTAGGAAAAATCAAGACTAGAGATGCGTAGTTATAGATCAGCGACCACACCCAATGTGTAAATGTTCTATTTTAGGGTCGCTGGCATCGATTGCTTTGCTTTAGCAGCAGCAGCATCAGCGACTTTTTGAAGTTTCTCCTTCTTCAGGGTTCGTAGATAGGCAAAGAGTAGAACGAAGAGCAGTTCGATCCTATAAATTTCTGGTAAGCACTGAGGTCGTAAGGAGTTCTATTCGAAGTTAAACATAGAGCCCTTACCTCTCCTTGGTCATCATTAGAAGGCCTTGAACCAATAGGCCTTTCATAATCTGGGGGCCGATTCCTTTGAAAAGACCTAGGGTGCCTTCATGCTCGACAATGTAACTCATCACTTCAACAAAGCTCTTGAAGGGTCTTCCTTTTCTGGATGGTGGTGGGCGAGACTGTAGGCCAACCTTGGCTACAATCAACGGCTGGGTGATGATAGTAGCCAAACTCTTGGACATGGCGCCCAACACTAGATACCGAGTTAGTTTTGTGGATAGACGCCGGGAAAATAGAAGTAGAAGTTTAACGAAGAACTCACAGAATGCTTCCATAGGCCGCAGGTTATTCTTGCCTGGGTATATGATCTCTCTAAGGCGTTGATAGGCACCGTACGTGATAGCTGGGTTGACTACCAGAACAAGACTGGCCTTAAGGCCTCTCCATAGACCACTCCATCCATCCTCGCTATTGACGACCTCTTTACCCGTATCAATAAGCCCCTTTTTCTCCCCCTTCGGCTGTGTTTGCTGCCTCGTCGTGATAACCGCAACAGGGATTGTGAAAACCTGAGCAATAGCTCCAGCAACGGCACCCAGAGCCAGCTCAGCAGCGGTGCCGAGTTTCTGGTTCGGTCGTGATTTCATATATAGGGTCCGGACGGTGGAATACCAATAGAAGTATGCGAAGTTCGTCGACGCGACTCCAATGAGAGAGCCATTCATGCCGGAGTATAGCCCAGAGAGACCTTCATCGGCAAAGATCTTCTTGATTGCATCAATCGTAGAGTCGTAATGCACCGTACCATCGGAGACGTCACCTTTCAGTAGTTTCTGGGATTTGACCTGGACTTGTAGTCGAGTCTTCACACTGCAGGGCCATCGAATTTCACGTTAGTTGAACCGCATTCCCCAACATTCCCCAAAGCTCTAACACAAGGATAACCAGGCATATAAATCTCACATATCTAAGGGGTATACGAGGGCGTTTGCAACAACGGCTCCAGTGGCCCCTGCGACTGCGCTCTGCCAAGGGGAGAGCTTCGATTGACCGGACATGATTGATAGGTATAACGGTTGCGATCTTTCAGCAAAATCAAAAGACCGCAGGACTTCTCTCTCAAAAACGGATGGCGTGGGACATAGGGCTAAATAAAGAGGTAGCAAGGCTATGCGTCACGCAGGCGAATAAACCGGCCCGGTCGATGTTCGGCTCTGCGACCGCTGGGAGTTGTTTGACTTGATATTCCATGCTCCAGACGAAAACCAGCAGGAACTGCCGTAACCTAAAGTCGCAAAGCCGAGGCATAACGAGATAAACTTCGAGCTGACAACGCCAGCCCGTGGGATCCGAGTGTATTATGTCAGCAAACGCCGGCAAAATTTCGGTGCGTGGGAGCTAGGTAAGCCGTCCTTCCCGGTTCGAGGGATGCTTGAGCTGAGCATCAAAAACAACATCCATAACATCCACCGAGCCACCTACCTCATGAAGGGAATGATCTGCTATCCTCTACATCTGCATCTAGTGCCGATAAGGGAAGGGAAAGAGGCCCTTTGTGACGTGCTTGTCTCGCGGGGCACATAGATTCCTACTATGAGCTGATAGACCTCACAAAGCTACTGCGATGTCTCAGCTAAGAGACATCAAGGCCCAAGCACTGGTACTGCTTCCGCTGTCTGCGTGGAATGAAGCACGACAATAACTATGACTCAGCTGACACACTTGCTCCTAGGAAGCTGAGAAGGATGTACGCTCAGCATCGACTCAGAAAGAGGAGTTGCAGGCTGCAATTAACGCTGCGGAACATTATATGAATGCCCTCCGGCTGGTTAATGACCCGGTCGAAAAGAGGCTGTTTGACTCAAAGTGCAAGGAATATCTCACTTTAGCTGAAAATATCAAACAATCTAAGGATGGAGGCCAGAGAAATATCCCAATGATACCCGTATTGCAGCCGGCGGCCTTAGTGGACAGGGAACCAACTTCTACAAGGACCCAGTCTAATCGTGAACAGATTATACTACTCGAAAACTCCAAGCTCAATGGATTTGTTTTCCCACCTTGGTCAATGACAGCTATTCCTGATCTCAGGGAATTTCAAGTTGACGACGAGGGCGAGTTATTTCTGTAAGTCTCTTCGTTGGCACTAAGTTGGCATGGACAGTTCACTCATTCAACATTCGCGCAAGTGATGCTTCTGATCTCCAAATATGTCCTGTTCAGCGAGAGATATTTGATGGCTGGAAACGGCCCGCTGAAATCCTGGGTCATCATACGTCAGGCTCCCCGATTTTACTAGGTCCAAATCCAATGGACCTAGTTCAGGATGTAACCACGGACTGCTCTGTTGTGGCAAGTCTTTGCACAGGAGCATCGCCGTGGAAGGAAGGAGTTTCTCAGGTACTGTCCATGAATACCATACTCCCGGACATTTTCTAAATGTTGACTACATAGCTCGTTCGTTTTATACAAATGTACCCCTCTGAAGACGGTAAAGTCCCATGTATTTCTCCTTCCGGGAAGTATACGTTCCGTTTATATTTCAATGGCTGCTACCGAAAGGTCATTATTGATGACATGCTTCCTTCCTCCAAAACTCTACGATCACTCCACGTGATAGATAGGAATAACCCTACGGCCATATGGCCTGCCTTGGTTGAAAAGGCATATCTGAAAGTAAGAGGAGGTTACGACTTTCCAGGAAGCAATTCTGGGACTGACTTATGGGTTTTAACTGGCTGGATTCCTGAGCAAGTCTTTTTGCATGACGATGAACTGGCACCCGGTCATCTCTGGCAGCGTATTACCAACTTCTTCCAGTCGGGGGATATATTATTAACCCTAGGTACTGGAAAGCTGACAGAGTATGAAGAAAATGAGCTTGGTCTTATCAGCCTACACGATTATGCAGTTTTAAGCTTGCAAGAGAGAGATGGAATTCGTCAAATGCTCATCAAAAATCCATGGGCCGCGGGACCTGTATGGAAAGGACTCGGTCAACTTAGTGAGAACTATGTTTTTAGTGATGGCTCTGAACATGAAACGTCACACCCCTCAACTACCGCTCCAGGCACATTCTGGATGGCCTTTGAAGATGTCCTCCAGAATTTCGATAACCTATATCTAAATTGGAATCCCTCTCTATTCCGCTACCGCCAGGATATCCATTTTCGCTGGGACTTGTCATCCGCAAGCATAGTTCCGGGGTGCTTCGCGGGAAATCCCCAATTTGCTGTTTCCACTAAATCTGGAGGAACTGTATGGCTTCTCCTTGGAAAGCATTTTAAAACTGGAGACTATAAAAAGAATACAAACCAACTGTTGGAAGTGGCTCCTGATGCTGACCAAACTGGGTTCATCAGCCTTTATGTATTCGAGAAGAAAGGAACTAGGGTTTATTTGGCAGACGGGGCTCTCCGGCGTGGGCCTTACGTTGATTCCCCGAATACAGTGATGAGGCTTGAGATGCCGCCAAACTCGACCTATACCACCGTTGTGTCAGAGCAATCCCATCAGAGATCACTCTATAGCTTTTCTATCTCTGCATTTTCTATGTCTCCGATTAGTATCAATCCCGCGAAAGAAACATATTCTCACGTCAAAAAGTTATCGGGAGCCTGGACTACATCCACAGCCGGTGGTAATGCTGAATCCGAAAGATATCCTGAAAACCCTCAGTTCCAAATACAGATCCTTGAGAAATGCGATGTCAATATTCTTCTGGAAGCAGAAGATCCTGGCCTCGCAGTTCATGTGAGCCTCATTTGGTCAAATGGGGACCGTGTTGCATGTGTTCGCTCACGGGATATAGTAGTTGGCAGCGGTGATTACCGCCGCGGCGTCGCTTTGGCTGAGAAAAAAGATGTGACAAAGGGGATGTACACCATCGTTTGTTCAACATTCACGCCAGACCAACTGGGAAATTTCACATTGTGCGTTTCTAGTACCTCGCCCTGCTATGTCAGGCAACTGCCAGCAGAAGGGGCGGGCCATTTGGTTATGAACTCTGGCATCGGAGTCTTCCCTCCAGGGACGGATCGGATTTTGGCTCCGATTTCCATGCCTCGCCTGGCGCGGTTGAAATTAATATGCCGACGTCGTGGGTCATCAATCGGAGATCGCAATGCCGCTCCATCTCCCATCCTTATGACTGTAGAGCTTGGGCAAGGACCGTATAAAGAAATTCTTGCTGGGTCTGGAGATGGCAACTTTAGTGATGATGTCAGAGGTGCTCGCATTGAATCAGTGGACTTACAGCCAGAATTTGAACGGAGAGGGGGAATATGGCTTGTTGTTGAACGTATTGGCGGGCCGGGTGGTCAGGTTGAAGACCGCATCGAGGTAGAAATTCTGTCAGAAGAGCGCATTGGGATAGGGTCCTGGGGTATTGGTGATGGATGAGACTCCGAGACCATGCATGTAGATTGTCATGCATCTATATAGGCAGAATATGCGCAATTATTACTACCTAATGAGCGAGGCATTGACAAATCCTAAGCATTATCGAACATTCCTTACGAGTTCCTGCCTATCTTATCAATCTCTCTAGGTATCTACCTATAGCCGTGTTCGGTATCAGAGCGCCGAGTAGTGGAGATACCGCTGACTAAGCAGACTTTTAACGTCATTTGTTCCCCACGCCTTTCGAGAAGCTCGTTTGGCTTGCAGACGAACATCATCAACGCCAGGTTGCTATCTATCAACAAACATCCAAGCACAGAAGCCGTCAAGATGTCGACGAATATCCCAGCTGGTCTAAAGACGGCTGATATTAGCCGTTTTGTGACCCGCGCAGCGCAGCTTGAGAAAGCAAAGCCGACTATCTCATATTGGTGTACGTTGTGTCAGCCTTCAGCCGTCAGTATAGTTCACCACTTCCTGCATTGCAAGCTAACATGAGCATAAAACACAGGTAACTTCTGGGCTGTGACTCAGATTTTGGACAAACATCTTCATCAGACGGATGAAGAATGCTTGAAATACACCACTGAACTCATGGATAAGCTCGAGAAGGTATGGTTGCCATAAGCCGTTATTAGGATTTACTTGACTCCCTTGGGTCACCAGTGAACTAAGGGCGAATTATTTCTGAGATGCTAATCTTTTTTTTGGGGTGTCTTAGTTTAAAAAGGAGCACTCTAATGACGATACGATAACAGACGACACTGCTGGTCAGGCATACGTAGAGCAATTCGCTCTTGAGACATTCCAAAGGGCGGAAAATGCAGTTCGGGCAAATAAAGCATCCATGTGGGTTTGAGAAATCTCCCTTGAAATGGTATTAAACCAATTTAACAAAATATATAGGCAGACTGCCGATACTTTCCAAGCTGCGGCCACTTTCCTGGATCTAGGCCAAGCATGGGCCCAGCCTGACGCGGAGACAGCTTCCAAAATTAAATATGCTAAATACCACGCCGTCCGAATTATGAAGGCTATAAAAGCTGGAGAAGATCCGAATATCTCCAATTCTAAAAATACTGAAGCCTCACCGGAATCCTCAGGTCAGGCTGAAGGAACAGTTGCTGCCGGTGACACCCAGGCGCCTCTAGAAGTCCCTAGAAAATCACGACAGCCTTCTGTCGAGGATATTCCGGATGATTTCGACAGGGTTCAAAGTAAATTGGCAGCGCAATCATCACTGAACGAATCGCTTCATCCTTCACGTTCATCTTCCACAGCGCCTCCACCACGGCCTACAAGTGCTCTTAATATCCCGAATGCACCCACAAGTGCGCCAGGCAGTGGAATGCCCAGTCCTCCAATAAGTATACCCCCGGGGATGGTAGATTTTGATGATAGTTTACGGCAGAGACCCTCACAGCTCTCCAGAGCTACTGTTCCTGACCTGCCTGCGGCGCCCTCTGATTTCCCATCGCCTGCGTCAAGCAATGCTGACTTACCGTCTCAACTCGGACAAAAATCGGACTTTTCTTCACTTAATGTTTTCCAGTCCTTCCCTCCACCTGCCACGGACCCTGAATTCCCACCCACGGAGTCCCACGCTCTTGGCCCTCCCCCGCGCACATCTCCTGGAATGGGTGTTGATAGGACATCCCACCCACAGCCTCCAATGGTACCACCAATAACCCAAATCCCTAAAGACACGCTACCCGTATCTTCATCAACGCATGGAGCTAGTAGCTCTAGCCAAACCGTTGATGAGGAGGCAATTTCAAATGCCCAAAAGCATGCGCGCTGGGCAGTGTCTGCGCTCAATTTTGATGATGTCAACACTGCAATCAAAGAGCTGCAAAAGGCTTTAAATTTTTTGAACCCCCGTTAAAATACCATATATAAGTTTACATAATCTCATATGGTTGATGAATCATCACTCTTTCAGGCTCTTGATGCATATGAAGCCTTTCGTATGCCACAACAAAACTTCTGGGAGGCATAGCTTTATTTCGCCTTGTATTGCAGTTCTAGCATCCTCTTGTTTCAGCTATCAAACACGATACTGCCTCTTGACAGCCTAAATTGAATCTAGAATGGAATTTCCAACACCACGTACGTTTCGGTTTCTACGTGTATCCGCTCTTCGGACATATCGAAAACTACTATTTGCCATTCTTCGTTTATCCTTCATATGCCATTCCACCCATGTCGAACTAAAAAGCGTCTTGCCCAATTGGGGGATGGATCTTTTCACATATGAACCTGGATGTATCGTGTTTATGTATGTATACCTAGTTAGCAGACACTGATTCGAATATTTTTTGGACACTTATCTCTAATTTCATACCAATATCCCAAACCATTCTTCTAGTAAAGAGCTCAAGAGGTGTCTTTGAAATAACAACCAGTGAACACTTAAGGCAGCTATTGTTATGTCTATGCCTTCAAGATGTTACTTTTATACTCATGGCCGCTGAAGGAGAATCGCCACCAACTAAGCGAATAACGAATAAGTCAGTTATGGAACAGCATGTTCCTGTCGACTTGTTTATTTTGTTTATTTCTCACTGCATGAAAAATTATCTGAAGAAGCTAATACCAATATCTTCATTCTCCATCCAGATACCCGGCATCCTGAGTATTCATACACGTTTTGGCATCTAGAGACCCTGAAGGCTACCTATATCAATATAATTCATTCCTATAACTACTCTCTTCTCTAATATCAAAATAGCTGAGGATGACCCCGAGCTTCTATTTACCAGAAAACATCTCCTGCAAGCTTGATGACTGCTATAAACCAAGGACCCATCCGTGGCATATATTTGATAACGGTACTCAGCAGTGGAAGTCCATCATACCTCCCTGAACAGTAGCTGTGTCACAGGTACAATTCGAGCATATCAAGGCGCGTGTTATCGATGATCTTCCGGTGAAGAGATAATATTTTTCGCCTTATTACATGGAACCTTGATGCTTACGCTCCATTCACCCGGGAACGGATGAATGCAGCTCTAGACCGTTTTACCCAAGGTTGTTCTCCCACCGTATACCGAGGACTCGCCACCGGTTATAATCATGTTTCAGGAGCTGCTTGAGGCAAGCATCAAGCAAATTATGAACACGAAATGGGTGTAGCAAAGGTTTGCAATAACAAACATTGATCACTTTAATCTAAACTGAGGACCACAGCGAGGAAAAGAATGACTCTATATCGGCCAGGATGACACTACGTGTCATAAATGTTTTCCGTGTTAGATGGCTCAGAAATTTCTGGAGGGACGGGTTGTTCGTTGATTTGGACGTTACATATACGGGGTAGGATGGCCGAAAGGAAACGAAGTCCCTTCGAGCCTGCAATACCCACCTTGACTCTTTGTCTTCTGCCCATCCGATCCGGCCCTATCAAGTAGCAAAGGCTACAAATTACCCAGAAGAAGAGGTGATACATGGTGGTGTGCTGGCGGGTAATATGAATTCCATCCAGGCTTCGGACGATCGGATTGCGGGGGATAACAATCTTAAGGATGCATATTTGGTGCTGGGAGGAACTGAAAGAGATTCAAAAGGATATACCTGGGGATATCAGCAGCGTCCTTCTAATAAACATGAGATTTTCTGGCCCAAACGCCTTGACAAGGTCCGCTATCGCGGTGGACTGGTGGCCGGGGCCTTGACATTTATTGGCGTGGGAGTGATCGTGAAGGGTGACGAAATCAGATCAAGCATGCGAGCTCGAGGCATGGGACACTGGGCTACAGACGACTATGGGCTGTTGGCTGACCTGGAGGTTGCTGAAGTGGTGGAAGTTGAGGAAGAGAAGAAGGACTGAGTAGTTAGTTCTTCTGATCGCGGTGGTTAACTAGTTAGTTAAATTAGTGATCGTGATGGTGCGAATCAACCAGCCATCAAGAGACACACAAATCTTTAGCGAGACTGCAGCCCACCCCTGTTTTATGTATTATTACCAGCATGAATATAGAATACTATCACATCGATGACTTGGGTTGTTTTTTATTCTCTTTTTATGATAGTAGGTACTCCGTACAATGGTTTAAAGGTTGAGAGTTGGTAGGCTCGGCCCGGCGAACGCCCCACAGCGAGACCCGAGGTTCCAGAGCAGCGGAAAGGCCTTCGTCGCCGGGCTCAGGAAACTTGACGTCTAGATTTCGCATAGAAAACATCTACCTACACAAGGCCTGCGCCCTGCATCGACGTCAATTGGTTTGGTATGTTGAATGGCACTCCAGTCGACAGGAAAAACAGTTAACTTGACTAGTTAGTTCTTATGGTTTACGTCTTCTCGCCAAGGTTCGGGGGAGCCGTCGCTTGTCCATCCTTCTATCTGTGACGGACTAGCAAGCTATACGCAGTTTTACTTATGGGCGCTCGTTATATCTCGGGATGACCGAGCCCAATTGAATGGAGGTGACTATGCGGTCTCGTTCGTCAGCTTGCATGCAGAGTCTGGCTTCCATTAAAGGCTGCAAATAACTAGATATCCTGGCCACAGACCCAAGGTGCGTGAAACAGTGCCTATTTCCTCGTTCTCGTTTATTATTATTTCTGCTTCTGTCACTCGACAATGTGGTTAATAGAGATAGGTGAGACAGAATCAGGGGATCTGCCGTCAAAGAATATGCAGCCGTTACGGCGGGAAACGCGTTTGTTTAACCATGAGCCGTAGCCAGTTCAATAATCAAACCTGGAGATCACTCATCTCGGCCAATTTTTAACACTGGGATATTCTCTCTTGCCAACTTTGAAATACGGAAGACATGCATGCATGAAGGTATATACTGAAACGCTGCTATCCTTGGAAGTTGGATTTCCTGGAACTTGGAAGGCCGTTATTTTCCAGGGGGAATCACGGGCAACGGGCAATCAAGTCTGCCACAGTGAACGGTCAAGGCTTATATTTGCGATGGCTGTACCGAGCAGCAGTCCATTAAGGAGGGGTCTATCGCGGGCACTTCGCAGGCACTGTGAGGAAAACTGTGTTTAATGAGGCAATAGGGTATAGATATCATTCCAATCGGAGAGACATTCGGCTGTGTCTATCATTGTGTGAAGCTCCACTCCACAGATAACGGGGTCCCTGCCTATCTAGCAGCAATGAAATTCGGGGATCCTTCAACGGAAACGAGAAAAGGGTCTCATGAGTGCTTTGGCGGGAAGGAAAGGGGTGTTGCTCGTATTGATTGATCAACAGCCTCAGCTCGTTGCAGGAAGATGGCAAAGCATCATTTACGTGGGTCGAATGGCTAGCCGCGCAATTCGGGCTCAACAGAGGCAAACACTCCGAGCAGCATTCTAGATTTACAGCAGCTGGACGGCGTACCGGGGGTGGAGGAGGTGATGTGTCTCAGGATATCTTGTCCATAATCCTCCACGTATCCCTAAAGGCTACTCCGTAGGCTGACACTGACCGTGCAAGCCGTGAAGGGCAGGTGTATCTCGACCCAGAACCAGGTAATATCAAAGAAGGAAGAAAGAATGTCTGTGCCTCCAACGCCCAAGACTCCCTGAAGATTGGAAAGGAGCCTGGGTTTCTCCGGGGTTCACCAACATTTACCTCATCACCAACACATAATTGCATATACTTATAACTATCCTGGGATATAATGGGGGTGTGATATCACACTGGTTGTTGGTAGAATCGTCCACTTTGCTGGGGGACTGTTCAGGGGCCGCATTCTCGATCGGCCCCAACCTGCAAGTTCGATATATTTATTAGCATTGGATGGGAGGACAGCGAGATTTCAATATGTGGCATGCGCAGGCCCATGTTGAGCTCCCGACAGTCTGTCTCTTCGGATGCGCCCCTTTTTCCGGGTGACCAATAACGGAGAATATACGACTCGAGAGATGCAGAGAATATGCAAGGGTCCTTTCAACCAATATTATCGGCGACGTCTTCAATAATGGCTTGCAACCCCCCCTCCTTTTAATCTTACCTGCATTGCATGGATCTATTTCCTTCTAGAAAGATCATGTATTATAACTCACATCATGATATTTGGTCGATTTCCCCCCTCCCCTTGCGGCACGTCACAGTGTTTGGTTTCAAACGCTGTCCGTCCTGCCTGCCCTGCTAACTATCCTGGGCTCAAAAAAGGGACTAACAACGACTGATGACGACACCAAAATACGATGACTGCTCTGGGGGGAGGGGGGGGGGGGGGGAAGAAATATACTGTCAGCTGAGAAGAAACATGTCTGCCCCTGAATCGTTTTGATGATGGGCTCCGCACGGTTTTTCCAAGTCCACCAAACGAGAGCGTCGATATTGACAGGCCCTTTTCGTCTTGGAAGAGAAAGGGAAAAGAAACGGCGAGAGGAAAAGAGAGCGAAAGAGAGAAGAAGAAAAGAAAGCAGAAGAAAAGATGGCTAGAAGATAAGTAGAAAACGGAATTGTCGGTGTGACCAACAAGGCAGCGAGCGAGTGGTACAGGCCTGGTACGCCAGTAAATTACATCGTTCGTGGGCCCTGCAACTCGCGTTCCGTAAACTTCGGTCAGAGAGATAGCTGTGTTTAGAAGTGTTACACCCGGTGGTGATATAGGGCTATATAGAGATATAGGTTGGAGAAGTATAGACCCTGGCGGTCAGGCCTCCCATACATCCCACTCCCCCTTCCTTAGCACAGGCGAGAGGGATCTCGATACCTAGCCTGGTGCCATCCAGCTGGTTCTCGCTCGAGCTGGCTTGCGTCTCGTTCTCGTCTGCTGCTGCGGGATCAGCCCCTGTTCTGCGGTATCCGATGATGCATGTCATATAAGTGGGTTCAAGCCGCCAATTCAGCAGGAGAAGAGAGGTTTGAAAAAGCAAATACGCATCCTCCCTATACCGAGACTTAGTACTAATTCAACTTGTTGCCCCCCACCCTGCCTCCCTCACTGTCCCTTTCTCTCTTGTCAGAAAGAGAGAGTGAGTGAGTGAGCGAGTGAGAGCGAGTTGAAAAGCATAGGACCGCCGCTGAGCATATATAAAAGAGCCCTGCGAAACTCGAGCCACTGCCGGCCGAGCACTTCTTCGAACCGCCCGTCCTGCGTCCTGAATATCAAACAGCCACTTCCCGCCTGCAGCCAACGCGAGAGGGGGAAAAAGAAAGAAGAGAGCGAGAGGAAGGTGGACAAGAGAACCCCACGTCTATCCCTCTGCTGTGTGTCCGCTTGTCCTTGAGGCCAGCGTCTCACGTCTCGACGGCCTCCTGACTCTGGATCTTGCCTGAACGCTGCCTCCAGTAGACATCGAAGGCACGTCGAGAACCCGACGAAACAACGCCTATCTACACTCCGGTTAGTGACGAGGATTACAGGAGAGACCGAAGAGAGCGAGCGAGAGCGGCAAGGCAACACGAAAAGGGACAAGAACAGGAGGGAAAAGGCCTTGCTTATTCTTATTCTTTTTCTTTTTTTCCTTTAATATATATCTCCTGGCCAATTCATCCATCTCAGTTTTATATATCCCTCGGGTTATTATAGTCTACTTCACAGCAACGACCACAGGCACCAGCAGCCATGTCGGACGACTCTTCCAACAAGCCGAGCGTGCTGGTTGTTGGCGGGCTAGGTATGCAAACGACTATAAACCAGCAGAAGCAAAGGAGCAGACGTCGATTGATGTCTGTCGATGGTGACGTTGGTGTTGGTGTTGGTGTTTTGGTGTTGATGTTGGTTGAGCTCGAGGCTGATTCGCTTTCTCCTTTTGGCCTCGTTGCCCTTTGACAGGTTTCATCGGTCGACATCTCGTCCACCACATACACAAGAACAACCTCGCCTCAGAGCTGCGGGTGGTCGATAAGCTGCTCCCCCAGCTTGCATGGCTCTCACCCGAGATCACGGAGGCATGCAAGGACCGTTTCGTCCAGGCAGACGCCAGCCTTCAGCGTACGCTTGTCCTCCCCCCCTGACCCTCCCCAATCCTCTTCCCCCTGCCAGCACCATCTCGACGTCAGGAATACAGGATTGACAGGCCTTGCGGCACTCTAGAATCGCTCCCCCGCGTCTTCGACCGTGCAGACGGCTCCCAGTACGATCTGGTGATAAATTGCGGCGGTGAGTCTCGGTATTCGCATCAAGACGATGTCTACAGGCTACGCAGCCATGCCCTCTCGATTACCTTGGGTAAAGAAGCCGCACGACGGGGGGTCAAGGCCTTTGTTGAATGCTCGTCTGCGGCGATCTACAAGGTTGATGACAAGCCACGCAAGGAAACAGACAAGTTGAAGCCCCTGCAGAAGCTCACCAAGTGGAAGGTCACCACGGAGGAAGAGCTGGCAAAGATAGACGGCCTTAACCTCGTCGTATTACGGTTCCCATACGTATACGGAGAATACGACACTGGCCTCCTGACGTCTGTCATCTGCGTGGGGAGAACATACAAGGAGATCGGCCGTCCTCTGACCTTCCTGTACGCCAAAGAACGCCCTCTCAACACCGTCTGGGTTGTGGATGCGGCCCGCGCCCTCTGGACAGCCGCAACATGGCGTGCATCCAAGGGACCTCTGCCTTCCAATCAAGACCCTCAGCCATTCCCTACCACCTTCAACATCGTCGACCACAACAACACGTTAAAGGGTGACCTCGCTGACGCCCTCGAACGCAACTTTGGCATCAAGTGCGAATTCCTGGGCTCCCTAATGAGCCAATTCGCCAAGATGAACCAAGAGCAGATCCTAGACGAGATGAACGAGGAAACTCTAGAAGTTTGGTCGGAACTCTTGCTGGCCAAAGGGATCACTACCTCAGGGCCCATCAGCCCCTTTTTGGAGAAAGAAGTTCTCAAGGACGCAGATACAACTGTCGACGGATCCCTGTTCGAACAGACTACTGGCTTCACATATCTGAAGGAGAAACTTGACCCGGACTGGCTTAGTAGTGTTATAAAAAGTTACGAACAGATGAACTGGTGGCCCTGAATTATACATGTCTTGGTCTCTGTTCGGCCGTGATACGCGTGTCCCTCGCTCCCTCTTCTCCTTATTAACTACTGGATAGATGAGAAACCTCTCTCTCTCGTTTCATTTTCCTGCTACTTCTCCCTTTTTACTTTTATTTCTTTTGTTATTTGCTTCGCAGTCTTGCAATTTTTTATTTTTATTTTTTTTTTTTTTGCTTTGTGCTTGAGACGGGATATATATATACATTCACGCAGGATCGATGTATGGGATGCATGGGTGCCCAAATTTTCACACTCCATTCCTTTCTTTTTCCTACTTTGGCGCCGCTTCTCTTCCTCTTACGCTCTTCGACATCCCAAGATCGCTTCCTTCGTTCTATGATCAGTCTAGCTTTCTGTCTCTCCCTTCCCGCTTCAGCCTTGTTGCCTTCATATACCCCTGTTGTAATATAATCAATATACTTCATTACCGAAAACTGAAAAAAAAAAAAAATAAATAAAAATAAAAATAAAAATAAAAATAAAAAAATAGCACGGCTTGAATAGTTAACTATGCTTTTCGAATACTATAACGATCACTCCACGATGGTGCTGCTGTTGACCTGTCGTGGATATTTTGCTGTCAAGGCAAGAACTGCTAGGTCAGTAATATAAGGAAGAGTTTGCCGCCCGCGAGGCCAGCTATGATATAAAAGTACAAAAAAGAACACTGCTATGCAAAAAGAGAGCACAAAAAGCCAAGTATAGAGAAAGAAACTCAACTAAATAAACCAAAGGAAGTGATCAAATGAGGAAATAAAGTTATTCAGAATCAGAACTCCCAGTCCTCGTCTACTGACTTGATAGCCCAGTCGAACTTCTCGCGCATCGTCTTCGAGAAAAACTTCTCTATTGGGACGTTGAACTTTTTAGAGAAAACCACAGTCAAGCGGGGATCTATATAATTCTGTTACGAAGTGGCGTTAGTGATGGGGTTGCTTCTCGGGGAATGACGAAACGAGCGAGGATCTGGGCTGGATAACGAAGCAGAAAGAAAGAAATAAAGAAGCATGGAAGTATAGAATCAATAAAAAAAAAAAAAAAAAAAAAAAAAAAAACTACACAAGCTTAGATGTGCCAAGGGCAACTTCCTTGTTATTCTCCTTATCTTCGGCCTGAAGAAGCATATTCTCGATACGCTGGTCGATTTTGCTAATCTGGCCTTCGAATTTCTCGACAGTAGGACCCCTGCCCTCGGCCTCAACCTTTTTCGTCTTATTCTCCTTCTTATATTTGGCCTCAAGCTCGTCGGCAGCCTTGAGTCGTTCCTCGAGTTCTTTGGCCTTCATCTCCTTTTCTCCATCGGCGGCTCGTTTCTCATTCTCTTTGTCGAACTTCTTGCGTATCTTCTGGCGAAGCTCCTCTGCGAGGAAAGCCTGATGTTCCTTGATCCACTCCATGTCTAGATCTTCATCTAGTTCAAAGTATGCTGCACCTTTCTTCTTCTTCATACTGGAGTCAAGGTCAAGAATCATTTGTTTGATTCGCCATTTCTGATACTGCAATCCTTTGATCTAGAACAGAGAGTTAGATAGATTGCTTTCTAGAAATGGCAAGTTGATCAAGAATAAGATAGGAAGGGATAAACATCTGCTTGCTTACCCGATCACCGAGTTTCTCCATCTGGTTGGCGTGTCCAGCAGCAACGGTGCGTTTATGGTTACAAAGGATGGCGACCTCACGGTTTGCGTCGTTGTACTGTTTGACCTTCTCTGGAATAGTCCCGGTTGCGGACATTTTCTTCAAAAGCGTTGCCATGGTGTACGAGGCGTTGTACGTACGGAACACCTTGGCAGTAAGGCCGGGCATGTAGCTTGATAGATGCTTGTTGAGAGCCGACGTCTATGTATAACAAGGTTAGAAAATTTGTCTTGAGTACATGAATAATGGACATGGTAGGAAATGGGATGCATACCGTGAGTCGGTCAAAAATCTCATCACCTTCCTTCTTCGGAGGCTTTTTGAATATCTTGAGGTTTTTGAAAACTTGAGGGTCAACCTCAACTTCATCGTAATATCTAATACTGTCCTTTCCCAGGAAGTCGAAGACAACGGTGTTTGGTGGCTTTAACGTAACGTGTTCAAATTTAAGAGAGCAACAGCCAACGGTGTCAGCCTCATCTTCACCTTTCTCGTTTCCAGCACGGAGGGCAAATTGGTCGATGAGATAGACGGCTGTAGCTCGTTGTCTATTGACCATAAGTTCATCCTTAAGGCCCTTTTTATAATCCTTGCGAATTCGATCAATGTGTTTCTATAGTGAAAGAAAAATCAGCACAAGAACCGAACGACGCCATGAAATGGCAGTTAAAACAGCACGAACCTTGAGTTCCCGAGCCTTCTCAAACTTCTTATAGTCACTCTGGCCTTTGACATCTGAGTTGGCAGCTAACATCACATATTTGTAGTTTCCGTTAACGTTTTCCTGCCACATGGCCAGCCATGTGCCCTCCTGGTCATGTCTAACTTCTTTCCAGCGATGCCCCTCTGGAGGAGCTGGGACAGGTGCATCCTTGCCAATGTTGATGGTAATCTGTTCAGGCATGACGCGAGTTTTCACCGTACCAGTTTTGGGATGCTCTCCACGGCCGCGGAAGAGAGCCGGAGGTTCAACACGGAAGTTACCAACCTTTTGCTTTCGCCCATCCCACATACAATACATGTATGGGGCTTCGGCGGCGTCCTTTTCGGCCTTGGCTGCCTTCTTCTCAGCAGCACTCATGGCTCTCTTCTCGGCGCGCAATCTCTCGTAGTGTTCAAAGATCGTTCTGAAATCACACTTGGAAAACTCCTTGATCTGGATAGGTTTGCCCTGGGGATCCTTTGCTCCGCCAGTTTTCTTGATTATTGCCTGAAAATCGTTGAAGAAATTCTTCTGGAAGATGGGGTTTTCAACGTTGTGAGTAGAATTGAGCATTGTTCCAAAGTGAGAGGCTACCTCTTCAGCATCTGGGTGTAAGGTGACCGGGACACCTGCGTATTTCAGTTTCACATCCTTTGGCAGAGGCTCGTAAGGCGGCGGGAAAACGACTCCGTTGTGTTCCAGGGTCGTCCATTTGATGGTGCCGTCGCCCTTCGATGGATCTTCCCACCATCTGTATTCCTCTTCGGCTTCCTCCTCTTCAGCTTCAGCTTCCTCACTAGGCTCCTTCTTTGCTGCGGGTTTGCTCTTCTTTGCAGGAGTGGCAGCGGCCTTTTTGGCGGGAGCCTTGCGAGCGAGAGGAACGTCTTCATCACTGGATTCTGATTTTTTGATACCGTTAGTTAGAGCTTTTTTCCCATTCGTAGTCGCTGCTTTTGCTTTCGTAGGTTTGGCAGCAGTCTTTGCAGCAGCCTTCTTCTTGGCCGCTGCCTGGCGATCCTGCTGTCTGAGAGACTGTGCCTCCTTTTCAGCACTCTTTTCGATATCAGCCTTTTCGGCCACAAGCCTCTTAGCCTCTGCAGAATTAACGGACGCCCTCTTGCCCTTCTTAGCCTGAGATATCAAGGGGGCCTCGTCCGAGTCAGAAGGTTCTGGTTTTGGCACCGTTCGACGACGCTTGCTCTGGGAGGAGTCAGTCCGGTTGGTGCTATAGAAATGGGGGAAAGGGGGAGCAAAAAGTCAATCAGCCGAAGACGGTGAGTTGCGAGGAAAGACTGGGGGCAGGGAGCGTGGCTGTTTTCTGCTGGCGTACCAATGGTTTATCGTCCTCTGCGCTGCTTTCCGCCTCCACATACGATGGGCGACCAGCACTGGATCTAGATTTCCGTTTAGACGGCGCAACGCCGTTAGTGTCCGCATCCTGCATGTCAACTTCGTTGTCCGTTGCAGGGCCATAGCGGATTGAGATTCCTGGCTGGGTGGTGGTTCCGTTGGTAGAGATGTCGTTGGACTGGGGCACGGTAGGACTGGACAATGGAGGTTCTGTCAAGAAAGAAAAAGAAAGAGCACGAAAGCCCGCCTCGTTAGCCATGATGAAGCACCTCAGCGCATACTAGCGCCCTCAGTTGGGTTGGGATGGCTGCGCCGCTCTCGTGGGGGGAGAGGCCAGCAGCTATGCTGGCATCCGTCACTTACTTTGAACACTTCCGTTGGTCCTCCTGGCGCCGGCAAGCGGCGCATCGTCGTCTGAAGAGCTCATGGCCTGCAACCGAGACACCTGCAACGCCTTCAGACGGGGCAGATGGTGAATCTCTTTCACACGCAGCGAGAACCGGGCTGACCGGACGAGGGCGAGCTGGAAGCCAGGCCTTGCGAGCCAGCCGAGGGGAGTTATAGTGAAGGCGTGATGACGTCTGGGTGAGAGCCGGGCGAGAGAGACGAGCAGAAACGAGGCCAGAGCCCGGGCAGGACGCGGGTGCTATCTCGACAGCTGGCGCCGGGGGGGGGACGAGAGGCCGGAGGAAGTGAAGCGCAAGAGCAGGGAGGCGGAAAGAAAGGCGAAGAAGAAGCTGAGGATTTGGATTTGGTTAAATATTAAGAAATCCAGGATTCCGTCCTTTTTCCTCTTTTTTTGGTTATTGTTATTCCAAGCCGGGCTTGGCCCAAAGGGGCTTAGCGCCGCTCGCAGCCCTTTCTGGCTTGTTTTCTTCGACGTCGAAAAAGACGAAAAACGACGAAAACGACGACGAAGGAGAAAAGACGAAGACCAGAAGCCATCGACGCCGTCACCACCCACGCTGTAACCCGTCTGTCGCGACCGCCAGCCCCTCGAGATGTTCTCGCGCACCGCCCGTCCGGCATGGAAGGCCGGCTCTGCCGCCGTCGCCCGGTAAGCCACCCCAAGAGAGACTACCCGAAGGGACCACACAGCTCGCCGGCAGCCCGCGGTGGGAGGAGACGGCGACGCTGGAGGGCGAGGAAGAGGAAGAGGGAGGTGCCGGCGAGTGATAGGGAGCCAATTGACCGCTGACGATGTGTTTTGCGTGTAGTGTTGCTCCCGCCAATGCCGCCAACTTTGCTACCCTCCGTGAGATCGAGGGCCGCCTGAAGTCCATCAAGAACATCGAGAAGATCACCAAGACGATGAAGATTGTTGCCTCCACCCGTCTCAACAAGGCCCAGCGTGCCATGACTCTGTCTAGAGCGTACGGTGAGACCTCCGAGGCCGTCTTCGGCCAGGCAGAGACCAAGCCCCTCGAGGGTCTCAAGACCCTCTACATCGTCGCCAGTTCCGACAAGGGTCTCTGCGGTGGTATTCATTCCGGCCTCAGCAAGGCTACCCGACGAATGATCATGGAGAAGCCCGATGCCGACATTGTTGTGCTCGGAGAGAAGTCCAAGGGACAGCTCTCCCGATCCAACGAGGATAACCTCGTCCTCAGCTTCGCTGGTGTCGGCAAGGACGTCCCTACCTTTGCTGAAGCCCAGGCCATTGCCGACCAGATCTGCCAGTTGCCCACCGACTACGCCAGCATCAAGATCGTATACAACAAGTTCATCAACGCCCAGGCTTATGAACCCACCACTGTCGAGGCTTTCTCTGAGGAGGCTATCATCCAGTCCCGTCAGTCCCTCTGTTTTCCTTTTCTTACTTCTTTTTTTTTTTTAGTCTACTGCTCGGTAAGAGTTTAATGGCCTAACTAACTTCTTTTTGCAGCCAATGTCGTCGCTTTCGAGGTTGACTCCGAGGTTCTTGCTAACCTCCGTGAGTATGCTCTTGCCAACAGCTTGTACTGGGCCTTGGCTGAGGGACACGCTTGCGAGATCTCTGTAAGTTCCACCACTTCACGAGCTGTATACTAGTCAATTGCTAACATGTTCATTTCCAGGCCCGTCGTAATGCTATGGAGGTAAGAATACTGTTCGGAACTTGATGTATCATCGTGGTCATACTCACTTTTTTTATAGAACGCTTCCAAGAACGCAGGTGACATGATTCAGAGGTAAGCTAATACCTCCAATGCCGCTATTGTCCGACCGCCCACAACTAACACCCCGTTTTAGATTCCAGATTCTCTACAACAGACAGCGTCAAGCCGCCATTACCGGTGAATTGGTTGAAATTATCACTGGTGCCACCGCTTCCGAGGATATGTAAACGTACGCAGTCGAGAGGCTTTAGATGCGAGCACCGCATATATATCTTATGCGCGAAGCTCTTGTTCCCCTGCATGCAGATCTAGATCCATTCACCCATTTTTGTACAAAGATAGTTGTATTCACAAGAGATGTTTCTTTTGTTTCCCTTCTCCCATCACACTAAATGTCTGTGGTTTCCCCCTCGCTCCTGTAAGATCAATTGTTACCATCTATATCTCTATCCATGAGCTCAATGGTGCCATCACATCACCGTCTTTGACCAACAGCAGCATCATTTCCTTTCTTTCTACTGTGTCCGTCCTTTTTCCTTTCTCATCAAGAGTCAAGGCTCCATTTCCATACCGGAAATTTTATAGAGCCCTTGACGTGAATACAGTCTCGTAGTCAATGCTATATACCCGCCCTTCCGGACAACTACATGCAGCTCTTTAGAAGACCAGATAGATGCACGTCATATAATATATACCTGTCTTTCCGCTATAGCTACAATAGAGGCTCTAAAAATATATTAAGATAATTCCTCCAGTAGTGCTTCTAGTTAAGAGATATACATATCAAGTTTACCTTTATTATATATCTACTACCTAAGGGAGGGAGATATAGGTAGTTAACTTAGTTACCCTACTACCCTCATTTACTTCTAGCATTCGAGAAGATAGTACGCGCCTAAATGCGTGCCGGAGTTTGTAACAGAGTGTGGGAGCCCGCTACCTTTCTCCCTCCTCTACTCAGAACTCCATAACTACCTAGGCAGTTCACTGCCTAAGTAGTAGTCAGTCCCATCCGCCACCCTTTGATTCGGTGCAGTGATGTTGAAATACCGCTCACTACCTTGGTACTTTCATTTGATCGTCTTCCAGGGCATAAAACTGATCCCGAATAATGGAGCTTAGCATGTTTAACGAGGCGTAGCAAGAGTTGACCCACGCTTCTTCATAGATCAACGATGCCATTTTCGAAAGAATTAAGCGGCAGTAAGTGAAAACAGCTGGTGACTAGACCCAACACAGGGGAGCATATAGAAATGGAGCTGTCAGGGCGATGGAAGTTAGTGGCACCCCTCTCCCATTGCATATTTAGGTCAATATCCGTATCGAAAGATAGAGGGTCACCCTCGCGGATAACTACTGTCTTTTAGCAACAAAAAGTACTATACTAAGATGTCGGGACTCGGGAAGGCTTACTCTTTAGGCCATACTTCTGTATATACGTAATCTCCTCAGGGCTTTTCTTTTTTATAGCTGTAACAAGTTCGTCGAAACGGGTGGGAGCTTCCTTTCCTTGAATCTCTGCCTTGGTGATTGGTGATGAGGCCTTGGCTGAGGGACTGGAGGTCATGTCTATTGAAGCTCTTTGTGTATAACATCACCGATTCAACTAGTTAAGTGGAAAAGAAAAATATTACAGGCTTATGTCATCCGAGCTAATATATTAATTATTATTATTAATTATTATTATTAATAAAATTTTATCCATGGATATCTTATATCACGTGATACAAGGAATGCCGAGATGACTAAGCAAAATTCTTACCGGGGCCTTTAGAGTGAAATAAGGAAAGAAGCCAACATTGCAACTTCGTCAGGCCACAGTGTTCGGTATCGAGGAGGGCCGCTGAGCGGATATATAGGCTGTCTCTTCTGCACTGCACGACTGTATAGACAAATTACTTCTATGAACCCAATTTGTTAAACCCACAGTCGCTCAAGATGCTGAAGTCAAGCTTGGCAGCTTTGCTCGTGACCCTGGCCATAGAGGCAGTGCCTGCTTCCGGGCTCTATACCAAAAAATCCCCCGTACTCCAAGTCGACGCAAATAGCTATGATCGTTTGATCGCTCGTTCGAACCATGTCTCTGTAGGTGGAGCTTGCCATGGAATACTAACCATCGTTACCTGCTAACCAGACCTATATAGATTGTCGAGTAAGGATATATATACCCAACATTTGGCGTCCTTCCAATACTGTTGCTTACATTAATAGATTCTATGCTCCGTGGTGCGGCCACTGCCGGAACCTGAAGCCAGCGTATGAGAAAGCTGCTAAGAACCTTGACGGTCTGGCAAATGTTGCAGCAGTTGATTGCGACGATGACAAGAACAAACCTTTCTGTGGTCAGATGGGAGTCAAGGGATTCCCAACCCTTAAGTTAGTTATTCCTTCGAAGAAGCCTGGAAAGCCCAGAGTTCAAGACTACCAGGGAGCTCGAAGTGCAAAGGCCATTGGTGAAGCTGTTATTGATAATATGCCAAACCATGTCAAGAGACTCACCGACAAGAATATTGACGAATGGTTCTCCCTGAGCAATGATACCGCAAAGGCAATTCTGTTCTCCGAGAAAGGTGCCACTGGCCCTACTTTGAAAGCATTATCCTGTGATTTCCTTGGCTCCATTTCATTTGGTCAAATCCGGAACAAGGAGAAGTCTGCTGTTGAACTATTTGGCATTTCAAAGTTCCCAGCTTTGGTCCTTCTCCCCGGTGGTGATAAGGAATCCATCTTATATGATGGAGAGATGAAGAAGCAGCCGATGATGGAGTTCCTTAGCCGGATAGCTGAGCCGAATTCCCAACAGGCACCTGAAAAGCCAAAACAAACGAAGAAAGCTGATAAATCCTCCAAGTCATCAAGCACATCAGAAAAGCCAGCTGATTCCACTGAACCAGACAGTTCGAAGGATAAGTCTGAGGACAGCACTGCGCCTAAAGACTCCAAGAGTTCAGAAAGTGCTGAAAAGGAAGAAACTGGACGCAAGACGCCACCACTACGGTCACTCGCATCCAAGATAGATCTCAAAACTACCTGTCTATCAGACACCACGGGAACATGCTTACTTGCACTAGTCTCATTGCCAGAATCTCCTTCTGTTCCACCGCCACCCGCGACGATGGAGATGATAACCGCTCTTGGTGAGATTTCGCACAAGTACACAAAGAATCACGCAAATATCTTCCCGTTCTACCTTGTCCCTGAAGTTACCGAGGAAATTACCAATTTCAAGAAGCTGCTCGACATCCCATCCGACGGTGAATTAAAGATCGTCGTTGTCAATGGCAGAAGAGGCTGGTATAAGTTCTATAACCCCGAAGAGAGAGGTGGGTTTAGCCATGCAGACTTGGAAAAGTGGATTGACGCCGTCAAGTTTGGTGAAATGGAGAAGAAAAAGATCCCAGAGGGCGCTTTAATCGTTGATGCACCTCAAAAACCTGCCAAGTCTGAGGAGACTCCAGAGGAAACTAAGGACAAGGTCGATGAGACAGCTCCAGAGCCAGAGCCCGAACAAGAACCAATCCAGGATTCTAAGGAAGCTCAGCAGCAAGGACACGAGGAGTTATGAGGGATTTGATGTTCTCGCAGCTGTGGAGTTACTGTGGTTTTAACTAAGCGTAGCTGGTACTTAAGCAGCAGGCCAGATGTATCTGTTATTGTAAGAGAGTTAGCGTTATTGTTATCATTTAAATAATTCGAAGCCAATACATCGATAAGTTTCGCCCTCCATGAATAAATATCCATAAGTATACGTTTCGGGAATAAAGCACACTTGCAGCTGCAATAGATTTTGTCGAGCCAGAACACCATATTTATGCTATTTACAATTATTATCTAAAGACGCATTTCTACGTAATGAACATATCGATCAATCAGTCCCTTCTTCGCCCCTCGGTACCCTTTTTAATTTTCTTTCTCTCTTTGCTACCAATCTCCTTCTCATAGATATCCCTTGCAGTCTCACCGACCTTCCGCTTAGCAGAAGACTTAACACTGACTGTCTTAATGCTGCCATCTTTGGATGACGATGTGCGAATCTGCTTTTCAGCTTCCTCCCAACCTGCAGCTCCGTGCTCGATCTCATATCTATATCATCATTAATATAAACAGTCCTATGATCCACGTTGAGATAGTATACATACTGGTTCAATGGAAGAGCATCAATTAAAGCTCTTTGCTTTTCTCGTAGTTCAGCGTTTATCTCTCGCCCACCCTCCTTTAACTCATCTTCCAGGTCAACGTCAAGCGGGCGAAAGCGGTCTTCAACGATCTTATCATCGTGAGCATCGGTTGTCTCCCTCTGAGTTATGACTTTGTTCGTTGTAGGCATTGTGTCTGCAACGGCTCCTTCGAGAACGGAGCGGAAATGTGTGGACACTTTTCTCATTATCTTAATGAACATCGCCATAAGCTGGGTTGCAGCAACCTTGAGTTCCTTCTCTACGTCATCGAAGGTCTTGCGCTGTAAACCGGTGGCCAGAAGGATAGTTTGTTGGACACCTGAGAGATTGACTCCTGGGGTCAAGCGCCCAGAGAAGTAGAGTGACGCTATCGCTGGAACTAAGTCGAGGATGACATGGTAGTCTAATAGGTTATTCGCATAACTATCGAGTCGTTTAAGGTCGAAAGGAGAAAAGACAGCATCAATGTCTGCCTTCGTGACAGGAGATGGCTTAAGGGACGGGTCAGATTTCGACACTGCGGTGGCTGACTCGCTCATGCTCAAAGACATGACTGATGGGAATTCACGAAATTGGTATGACAACAATGATTGGAAGCGTTTATGGAAATCTGACACAAAGGCTCCAAGCCAAGAAGCATCATTGGATCCAGTCGAAAGAGTCCGAATCATTACACAAGAATGCTCTCCAGTAAGGTCGTTAGGAGTCTGCCTTAGGTAGACAGGAGCGAACTGAGACTTCTTCCAAAACTTATGCAGAGGCTGTGTCAAGCCAAAACTCACGCCAACGTAGTCAAGGGAGCCAGGACGTCGCTCAGAGAGCTTCCCAAAGAGTGGAGGCATTGACTGGATATCCCTGACATGAACATTATCATCTAGAAGATTGGACTCCTCCAATTCAGCATCGGTCACACGAACCATTTCCTCAGAGGTTGGGTTTTCGTCCTCTGATAAGCTAGCAAACTTGCCCTCGAAGAAGTCGATAAGCAACTCCAAAGCACGAGACCCATATCCCATCCCAATGTAGTCGGGATTAGTGGCAATTCGTACAATTCGTGCTCCAGATAGTCCAGCGAAATCCTCGTCCTGGAATTGTTGGCTGACAAGCCAAGGAATAAGATCACCACCCGCTCTCTGGCCACGACTTAAGCTGTTCAATACGCTCTGTTTACTTATCTGGCCCTCTAAAGCAACTTGGATGACACATAGTGGCTCAGGCAGCTTTGTTGCATTCTCATCAACAGGTGGTACCAAGACGTAAAGTTGATGGGCCGGTGCATCACTCATGAGTTGAAGATCATTGGGAGTATTCTTGTAATGACTGGCAACATACAAAGCCATCATCTGGTGGAGGAACTTTTCGGCAACTGGATGGAAAGAAAAGAGAGTATCACGGTTAACATGGAGCAATTGGCATTGGGATGGGTGAGGGCATC